CTTGGGAGCATGACCTCTTCTCCTGAACATTGTAACATCTCTAGAACAAAGGTGTGCATATGGAGTATGTGAATGCCCGTGTTGCTGAGGTCGACTCGGGTAAGCCTTTTGCAATTTTCTAGGGCTCTGTGGCCCATGTGGTATGTGTCCTCTCCGAGTTCTACTTGCTGGATACCGCTTGCAAAAAAGCACCCCTGAGGGAGTCCTGCCTGCGGGGATGTGAGTGTGTTTTCTCCAAAGCACCTGACGGGGCCTCTTCCGAATCGGATGAGGAGACGCTGGAATTGAGGCTGTGCACGGTAAATGATAAATCCAAGCCTTTCAATGGGCTGGGCTGTGATTTCCAAGGGCAATGGATGAAATGCCAAACAAAAAAAGCACCTGCGTATGACATAGGTGTCAATGGAACGAAGACCCGCTCACAATCACAGGCTGGTAAAAGAAAGTCTAGGTCTTCATTTTTGCCCGTCGAAACTGAATCCAAAGTATGTAGAAACTTCCAGACCCGTTCCCGGCGATCAACTGCTCGACTGTTTTGCAATCCGTGTTGGTTTTGATCAATCATACAGGCTTGTCCACTCTAGATTCCATGCAATGTTGGCTCGGTTTGCAATCCGTGTTCAGTGTTCGTTGGGGCTGCCTCCATTCATGAGGGCAAGATTGCGGCTGCCACAGCGGGTCTTGATTGGCCGCGTCGGAACCTGATGCCTTCAGAGCTGGACGCCCAACATCCATGAAGGACGCCACACATGAGCCTTCCCCTCGGCGTTGCACCCGAAACAGGTTGACTCCTCGATATTTCCACCCAGTAGTGCCCTGCCCACTCCGAGGGGTCGATCCGGACTCTGACATTACGACTTCTGATCACATAGCAGGTCCGGAAATTAGCGTTTCCCCTCGCCTATCACCGCAAAAACCACGATTTTTTGCACGGGTGGAGCCGCCGTACGTGCAGGAAATGCACAGGTCAGCTTGTGCTGTTTTGTAGGTGAGTCTCCTGCCATGAAAGGTCAACACGAACCAAAAGGAACCAAAACAAACACAAACCGCCCCAAAACAAACAAGGGGAGACAACAGAACCAAAGAGTGCCCGCAAGAGTGGGTGTCACACAAGAGTGTCTTACAAGAGCGTCCCACAACAATGTCTGACCAAAGTGTCTGACAAGAGTGCCCCACGAGAGTGTCCCACAAGAGTGTCCTACAAGGTTTTCCACAAGAGTGCGCAAGAGTGTCCCACAAAGGTTTCCGAAAAGAATGTGTCCTACAAGAGTGTCCCACAAAAGTGTCTCCTACAAGAGTGGCAAAAATTGTTTGAACGCTTGTTTTCGAGTACGTGGTGGCATTCGGGTTCGTGGGTTCCATCTTGGGTTCCAGACCAACAGGGGAGTCAAACAATTTAGAGAAAACATGTCTACTGTCATGGTCGACCATCTGCATCCCACCGGTACTTTACCAGTTCGGGATGTGGACATGTTCGGATTGGCGGCTGGATTTGAAGACGGCAAAGTCATCTCCCTTTTCCTCAATCCCCCTGGTGAGATGTGGAAATGCCAAAACAGCGGGCAATCATGTTTTGGGGGTTGAAGTTCCGAGTAGCTGGGTTTGATGAGGAAGATAAGGTACAGAACTCCTAACAATGTGCACGGATGGCTGCAAGCTGCCTCAATCCAAACGACACCATTCTCCCCGTTTCTGCAGACACTTTGCATTTACCACATGATGAGAAACTGCAGACACACAAGTCAACATGGTCCAGCGTTTGGATCTTGCAAGCAAAGGCGTTCACATTTTGTTTTGCCGCTCTCAGGTAGGTTGGAGGTCGCTATTGGGCCGTTAGGACCCATGTGACACTTGGTGGGAAAAGGGCAATATTTCGCCTCGGCATCGATTGGAGGAAAGAGTCCACTGGAATTTGTCAACTCTTTGTGTAAACTGAATTGACCAAACAGAGCCACTTTGGGAACTGACAGACTACTGAAAGTGCAAGGGGGTTCATCTGGATTGGAGGTGCCTTTGCTCGGCCATCTTGGACCGTGGCCCACAACTTGCTGGTTTCCCAAAACAAGTAGAAACCAAAAAGACTTGGTGCAAGGACGCTACTAGGGGCTCCTCGCCTTACTACTAGGAACAAGAAGCTACTAGGAGCAAAGGGCATCGCTACTAGGAACAAGGACACTACTAGGGGCTCTTCTTCAGTGCGAGCACTTTTTCAAGGAAGCTCCCCTCGCCGCCTTGGCGGTTGGGGGAGCTTCCTTGAAGGGCGAGCTATCCTGCGTCTAGTTACTAGAAGCGAGATGATGTTACTAGAGCCAGACATGGCTCAGCGAGATGATGTTCCAGGGCTCAGGCAATTCATGTCGTCCGCATGCAGTTGGCTGCTCTTGGCCCGATATTTTTTGTAGAAAATCAAAGTGACATGAAGACTGAAGGACGAACATCATAATATTGGTGACGAAAGAAGGCTGAACATATTATTTAGCATCATGTTGTTGCATGAGTGCCCTCGACGTACACCAATTGGAAGTCTAAAATGGAAAGAACAACCATTCTAAGTTTCAGTTAGAAGCACTTCGGGCATGGCGCGTGATGGACATGATCCACGTGGCAAAGCAAACGGCAAGGTGTGGAAATGGCAAGCTTTGGAATAGGCAAGACTATTCCCCTTGCCACTAGTAACGAGGGAATTGCTATTAGTTGAGTATCCCAAAAATTATAGTATCCAAATGAATAGAAGCATGAGCTATCCTGCGTCCTGCCGGTAGTAGCATACTTGTAGCTACCAGCGACCTCTCCCTTACTAGCGACTCCCTACCTTGCTACTAGCTACCTCTCCCTACCTTTGGCGGCCTACCCCTCAAAAAACAAAAAAACACTTAAACATATTATTAGCTATTTTCTATTCTTGTAGCTTCTGGTTACTTGTGCGTTCGTAGCACGTGTTTACTTTTGTCCTTTGGAGAAGGTGCTTGCTCGAGTTTGTCTCGAAAAGGAAGACATACTTTCGTCTTTGTAGTTGTAGTAGTAGTAGTAGTAGTAGTAGTAGCAGCATACTATATAGTGGACTATAGTATACTAGTCTAGTACTAGTTCTTTTGCCTTTTTTCGATCTCACTCGTCTGGGCGAAGCGATATGTTCGAATCCAGGGCAAGAATGGCAGCTTATCACGAGCTGCGCATGAGGCCATTGCATTCGTAGATTTGTGCTACCATTGACTTCTAGTCGGTATTAAATTCTTATTGTTACTATTAGTAAGGGCACTTGTTCCTAGTAGCGATGCACTTGTTCCTAGTAGCGTGGCACCTGTTACTACTAGCGATGCACTTTCGGATTTCGTTCGGATTCGCAGGAGATCTCAAGAACTTTGGTACGGATTCTTCGTTACGAGTGAACCCGCTGATTGGTGCGTGTGAGAACTGGTTCAGCGTTTTTGTACAAAGCGTTGGAAGCAAACACCCGATTTTGGAGGAGTTTGTACCAAGGCTGAGCAAGTATGCACTGGAGGGCCAAGCTGGCTGGGTTGAGCTTGTTAAATCCTCAGTCAGATAGCAGATCAAGTGGTTTCACTCGTGTTTGTTGTTCCAAGGATGACTTGATGCAGAAATGCAAGTCTCAAATCCGATATTCGCGGGAAGAGGAACCTAGACTGCACTGGACATTTGCGAGCTGACCTTGTTTCGAGCTGACCTTGTCTTGCGCCTTTTTGTGCTCACACAGGTCTTGTCAGTAGCGCGAGACAGTGAAGGCTCCCAAGGCAAACGCTTTGAAGTGCACCCCACAGGCACGAGAGATTTGATGTCGTTTGTCGTTCTTTTTTCTTTATTATTATTGGATTTGTTCTTTTTTCTTGTTTCTTTGGGTTCTTTTCTGAGGTGGTTGGCTGAGGGCCCGGCAATGAGCTCAGTTCAGACACTTTTTAAGCTCTGTGTGACTACTTCACAGCAGAGTCAATGTACGCCTTTGTGCCGCCAGAGGTACAGACACAATGGAACCTCAAATGGAAAAGGAAAAGAAGGGAAAGAACGGAGAAACGGAAGCCATTCGGGCTATAGCTATGCTTCTGGCACGATTGAGAACACAGGCGTGGACACATATGACCCTTAGGCCCTGAGAGGTTCTTCAAAAGTCGTTTCTTCATTCACAAACAAAATGCTTCGTTCTTGACCTTTGATTTGCATTTTTCTGAATTGTGTTCTTTGAATCTATAGTTCTATTCTCTAGCCCCTCTGGCCAGCATCATTTCGGCAGGCTGGGACAACTACCAAGGACCGGAAAGCTTCTCTTCCACTCCGTTGTGTTCTCAGACCAAGTATGCTCAGATTGCGCTTGGCAACCTTCTTCTATCACATTGCCTACTAAAAAGGGCAACAGTGCACTAGCAGTGCTCTGACACCGTTTCAGGCCCTGGTCAAGCAACGGCATCTTGTCTATGTATTTTGACCTCGGCTTTGTTGAAGGCCCTGAAAGGGCAACTCAGAGTCACTAAAGCCAACAAGGCTGAGCTGGCCTGTGTCTTGCAAACGTAATAGTGTTTTTTTGTGTTCCAGAGCCGCTAGCCTCATGATGTGAGAGATTCACAAGACTCACCCTTTGTTACTATTTGCTTCATGTCCCAAGGTCACATCATGCAACCACATCTTCTTATTGTTACTAGTAGCAATGCACTTGTTTCTAATAGCAAACATTGTTACTACTAGCGTGGCACTTGTTACTACTAGCGTCATGAAAAACCAATGCGCAGTGCCGAGCTTCGTGGGATCAAGGTGGTGCATGGCCCACCGCCCCCATAGCTATAGGAGCTGCATCGAGAACCTTGTCTTCGCGATCCCATCACTAAGGTTCCTGAGGTCTTTGTCCTGCATTGCTTCCGTACTTCGCAGTTGATCTGGACTTGAAGTCCTTGGTGGTTGGCATCTTTATCGGTGTAGCCTTGTGGCCTTTTCTCGGTTTTCTGAAGGAATCCTGGGTTCTTATAGGCATGTGTGTCAGTGATCAGAAGACAGTTGGTGCACAGCTGGTGGCATTGCATCATCGACCTGATCCTCCGCTGTAATGATTTTTGCAGTGCACTGCGGAGGGCTATTCCACTGGTTGGAAGAAGACCTAGCTTAGACCATCTGTCAGTTGGAAGCCCTAGCTAAGGATTGCAGGGAGTCATTGAGATCTGCCAAGAGACACAGACCATCCACAGGGCAAGATCATCACGGGACTCGGTCCTCTCTGCACACGACGCAGCTCTGCATTCAAAATCGTCTTTGGCGTTTTCAAGGCCAACCAAGAAGTATGGCTTTCATGTACTGTTTTGCCCTCAAGACCGTGCGACAGCGAAGAGAAGACGCATTGGATCTGTAGGCTGTTGACGGGAGCCAATTGACTGTACTGGAACAGTCATCGCAGCGACTGAATTCCGTTCCAGTTTCAGATGTCGTTGAGAGCGAACAAGGCTGCCAGAGCTGGACAGCCTCTGTGAACGTACCGAAGCTTTTGCTAGCTGCTAGCTAAAAGCAAAGCCGGGTTTTGGCGAGCTTGGCCGCTACTCATTCTTGACTGCCAAGAGCAAGACGCATGAAATCGGCTGGCCCGGTTGGAAGAAGCAATCCTCAACATCAACGTTGTCCTCCCATATTTTCTCTGACGCTTTGGGGCGGACGGCAGCTGAGGTGGAGGACTGAAGCGGCAGTTTGCTCGCTTCGAGCTTTCGAGTTTCAGGCCTTCGCTGCTTTTGACGATTTCTTCATGACACCAAGCCGACGAAAACTGGCTTGCAGAAAATGTTGCCTGGTGAGCTGTCCGGGGTGGATGTTGTCGTTGCCAAACAAATCCTAGCTGATAGATGACAGTTTCAAGGTGAACCAAATGTCAATCCAAGCCCTTTTTTGGGCACGCGTATGCCTTCGTCGTGTACCCCTTTGCAGTTGGTTTCGTCTCTTAGACGAGTGATTTGCGCACACCCAGCTCCTTTTGCTTTTTGCTTTGGAAGGAGGTCGATGTTCCTTTGAAAGACTTTGCTTGGCTCTGTGCTCTCGTTCGAACTGGAACAGAATGACGGAAAGGCTGTGAGCGGGACGCAAGCTGGTTGAAATGCGTGAATCTGTCAGTGCATTTCCAATCCTGTGATGATGGGAGAAGCAGCAATAATCGTTGCAGGCTGCGTTTTCGAAGCTGTTTTTGAACTTGCACCTGTGGTGGTTGCGCGGATTTCTTTGTGGAATTCTGCAATTCTATAGGTTGTGGTTCGCAAGCTTGATGCAAACCTCATTCTGAGTACAGCGTCTTCCAATTTAATCTGCAGCCATATCGGAGTACTGCCTGCAAACAACATCTGGATATGGGCTCACTTCCACATTGTGTGGACGCTCTCAGCTAATCAGCTAATCTGCAGCCAACTGCAAAGAAAGGGCGGCAGCGACATCATCATCATCATCATCATCATCATCATCATCATCATCAGTCATCATCACCATCATCATGTTCATCATCATTGACCATCAACAGGAGGATCATCATCATTGTCGCGCAGAGATTCAATCCGAACACCGGCTTCAACGAAACTATTCCTGACGCTTCGCGTCGACCGCCGCCCACACCTTTTTTCGGTCGTCTGGGGAAAGGCTGCTGGAGTGGACAGGGGAGGTCGGGAGTGGTGTCCAAAGAGATGGCTTGTTTGCCGCAGCGTCTATGGCCATGTTGCGGCTGAGTTACGCACAAGTTCGCTCGTTTGGTGGCCATGTTAAGGCCAATTCAGGCTCCAAGTTCGACCGTTTTGTGGCCTTGCCCCCGCTTGGTTAGTTCACATTACATCATGTCAAGGCTAGCTTGATCGTTTGGTGACCCTGTGTTGAGGCTACGTTGTTTTTTTGCAATAATGTACCTCCAATAATGCTGGTTATGCGTTGCTGGTCAGGAGGGTTTTTCAGCATCGTAGGTGTCCGTTTTTTGGCTTGTTTGGGTTCTTGCAGAAATAGTCCAAAAATGTACCTCCAAAACGCTCTCCCCCATGGCCCTCGAGGCGTAAGACGTTTTTCCCCGAAACAAAAAAAGGCACCCCCCTAGCAGAGCTATGAACTGATTACGATGTGATGATTGACTGACGATGATTCCGCCTTGACCCGCCCCTAACACGCCCTGCACCGCAAGCGGTGTGGGCGGATTTGTACAGGTCTGCGTGAAGGTGTGCGTTTTTGTACAAGGTTAGAACCGCCGCGCAGATTCAGCAAATTAATGCTTGCATATTACACTGCAAGTGTGCAACTAACTCGGGTGCATTGTTACTGGCGTTTGCGCCTAGAAGTGAGAAACATATAGTTTGTAGGGAGTTGACGGCGTTGACGACTCTCAAAAACGCTGTGAAGCCAAAGTGTGACTGTTGAAAATCTGCGATGGCCACGTCACAGTGAACGATTTTTTCGAAAATGTCGGGAGGCGTCAACGAAACGGTCGCCCTGTTCTATCGACGTTTGAGACGTCAAAGTTACTAGTAGCGATGCACTTGTTCCTAATAGCTTCTTGTTACTACTAGTAAGGCACTTGTTACTAGTAGCGTGGCACTTGTTCCTAGTAGTGTTGTCGAACGTGGGCAATGGTGATACTAAAGCGTGAAATGGCCCTGTGGCACGTCGCGGACCATATCTACTGCGCGGAGTGGCTTCTGGGAGCCCGCGCTCTTTTTGTGTGAAATTACACCTGTGCTCTTGCTGTCCCTCGGTGAAAAAATGGTTTGCATGGCTCCGTGCCAGACATGTGCTGCTGGTGAGCCGGTTCTTTTGGTTGCGCCAACGAGCCTTGCTGTCGCAGTGAGGCACCCGACTTATGTGGCGCAGGGTTTGGCAAACTTTTGCAGGTGATGTTGGTGTTATTTTTGGCGAAGGGCTTTGTTGTGGACGCCAACGCAGGTGGTTTTCTCACATACTGCTTTTTGCCTTTCAATTCAACATTTTTAAAGGTTTGGTTGACTTGGCAAAGGCTTAGCGAAGCCGCTTGAGTGACAGTCGCCATGGCCTAGGCAATGGTCTTGATCCTTTGCAAGCGCATGATCCTTGGAGGCCAGAGCAGCTCATGTTGTGGGCGCCCAACCTTTGTTAAACTGCAACGACCAAAGTAACGCAGGCAGTGACGCTCTGAAAGTTTTACAAGAAGTTGAGCAGCGCAAGAGATGTAAAAACTTGGGACGTCCAAACTTGGAACATCAAGTTGTCCAAGTTGCACGAAACCAGAATTCGTAGGTCATGCATGTTGTTTCTCTAGATCGCTCCTTCAGTTTTCATGACTTACTTCGGAATGAACTGATCGCACCTTTTCGCGAACCCTGGAGTGCTGTGACTCTGGAGCCACACCCTCGCCCTGCTCGTAACTTGTTGTCATCCCCCATCCTGTCGCACGCAATGCGCGCCCAGCCTTAGCCACCTAGCCCTCCTTATTTTTCATTCATCGTCTAGTTGGCTCTTCTCCGGAATGCTCGGAACTTGCTTCAGAACCTGCTCTGGAATCTGCTCCGGAAGCTTCTCCAAAACCTGACAGCCCCAGAGCGTTGTTACTACTAGCGTGGCACTTGTTTCTAGTAGCTTCTTGTTACTACTAGTAAGGCACTTGTTACTAGTAGCGTGGCACTTGTTCCTAGTAGCTTCTCGTTTTTTGGGCTCTTTAGTCGTTTGGGGGATTTTGTTTGGGTGTGGCCTGTCGCATCTGGGTGTTTTTTTTTGCATTTGCTTTTCTGCGTTTCTGTTTCTTCACTTTTTTTGGGGGCTTCTTTGCTGTTATATTTTTCTTTTCTGTTCCCTGCTTCTGCTTCTTTGTTTCGCTTTCGGCTTGTTTGCTTTTCGGATTTTGTTGGTCTTTCATTTCTCGTGCGGACAGAACCATTCCAATGTAACGTGGCAACTCAGGCGTAAAGTTTGGAACGGGAAGGACGCCTTCCACCCCAGCGCGCCTTTTGTAGCCGGTAGAGTTAACCTAGAAACTTTGGAATTTCAACGTAGGGCCACCCGAAGGTAGCCTTTTTTTTGCCATGTGGAGGCGCGTCGGCTTTTTGTTCTGACCGGTCCGTTCCCTTCCCTGTTAGGGAGCTATTAGAAACAAGTGCCACGCTAGTAGTAACAAGTGCCTTACTAGTAGTAACAAGAAGCTATTAGTTAATTTAAGGGTGTTGCGAACCACTTCCACTGTGCCCAATGTGTTTATGTGCTACAGCGGTGGATGGTGAATACCGGCGCCGCTCACCTTAGCCACAGCCAGGGGACATGACGCCCCGTGCCACGGCGTTGCGAAACACTACGCGGGATTTTTACCTAGCAGTAAAGCCAAATAGTTACCAAAGGAAGATATATAAATTGAAGAAACGTGACTCCGCTTCCCAATTGCCTTGACATGCAGTTGTT